CCCGGCGTGAGTTTAAGTCACCGGGTCCGGGATTCAAACCGTGGTTGACTACATGGGAGTCCAGTGACATAGCCATTATGCCCACTGCTGGTCCCCAGAGAGCAGGTCATTTTATTCCTTCACTCACATGACAAGCCGAATGACACAAAAATAGTTTCTGAATATATTGGTTTATTACAGCACATGCCCACACACAAGAAAGGCACAAGCAAAAGTAAAATATAATAAAATAAGTAAATGTAAATGTTTCATAGACAGGGACCAGCAGTTGGTGTAATGGCTATGTCGCTGGACTCCCATATAGTCGACCGCAGTTCAAATCCCGGACGTGGAGGCTTAAACTCATGCCGGGTGCGTGTGCGTGCGTGCCCAAGGTCCCGAGAGGAGAATGGAGGAGAAGGGATTGCGGTGTGACCATCCCCCCTGGGGGGTGATTTCTCGCTTTCTGTCTCTATGTCTCCCTCTTTCTGATGCGTGCACACGCCCTATAGCGAAAACTCTCAATAGAAAACGTTTAATAGACAAAGGGCACTTGTGCTCTTCAGAGAGGGGGGAAGAGAAGCCCGAAAGGGGCGTGGTCACGCCGTAACCCTTCTCTTTTCTCCTCTCGGGACTTTGAGCAAGTACGCATGTGTCTGGTGTGATTTTCAAGCTGCCAGGCCCAGGACTCGAACCGTGCAGTCAGCCATGTGGGATCCAGACACCTTAATCACTGCGCCACTGGCCAGCCTAATACCTACCTTTCTCCTGCTCCTTGCGGAAGAAGCCAGGGTGCCCTCAAGTGAAGGTTCTGCCCAGACTCCAAGCAGACCTTCCATGCTTTGAAGACACTGACCCCCACCCTCTGACTCTCCCTCCCCTCTTCCTCCCCCCTCTCTACCTCTCCATCCCGGCTTCTTCCTCTTCTCGCCAACCCCAAAGGGAGGGCCCATTCCTCAGGGAGCCGTGTCCTTTCTCTGCTCCTGCTTCCCTGGGCCTGGGGCCTGGGGCCTGCTCCTGGCCAGCTTCATAGGGCAGCCCTCTCCAGACGCTGCTTGGGGTGGAGAGTTGCCCGTGGACACTCCTCCAGTGTAGTGTCCCCTGGACTCGGCAGCCTCGGGTCCCTGCAGGCCCCTCTGGCACCACCCCTGCAGGTGGGTCAGGCTTTCTGCAGTGTGTCTCTGAGGACCAGAGATATCAATCCCTTCTCCTCCATTCTCCTCTCGGGACCTTGGGCATGCATGCAAACGCGCCCAGCGTGAGTTTAAGCCGCCGGGTCCGGGACTCAAACCGGGTCGACTACATGGGAGTCCAGTGACATAGCCATTACGCGCTAACTGCTGGTCCAAATTTACTCATTTATTTTTAATTTGACCAGAGGGGGAGAGAGAGAGACAGGAGAGAAGGCAGACCGCCAGGTCTGGGACTTGAACCTCAGTCGGCCATGTGGGAGTCCAGCACCCCCAACTACCACACCACCTGCCAGTCCCCATTCTGGCTCATTCTGGCTGCGACCTAATGACCTTATGACAGGGACATGAACACCCCACACTCCTGCTGCCTGCCCAAGGAGTTCACTTTGTCTCCCCCACCTCCCTCTGTAATGTCCACTCCACTTGCAGGTGACCCGCCCTCCGCCCAAGGCTCAAGCAGCCCAGCCTTGCTTCCAGACAACCCACAGGAATCTGCCAGAGGGCCTTGCCCTCGGGGCTGCGAAGGGACCTAAGCAGATGTGGTGAGGAGGGGCGGGTGGGATCAGTGCTTCAGGGCAGGGTTGGCCTGAGGCCAGCTGTCAGTGACGAGGAAGCTGACCAGAGCTCCCCTGCTCCGGGACTCTGTGTGGTTGCTGTCGGCCCATTTCCCCATTCGAGTTGACCTGGACCCAGAGCCCACGATGACAGTCCGGACTGGGCTGGATTCGCCAGCAGACTCTTGGCCGACTGGGGCGGTCTCGGGCCTGCGGGTAGGCCTGCTGCGCTGACCCCGTTACGGCAGGCCGCCCCACCCAGCCGGTGTGGGAGACGCCCCTGTGTCGGAGACGCCACTGTGTGGCCCTCATGTGCGTCATCTCACACAACCCCACGCAGACAGGAAGCCAAAGTCTCAAGGGATAAGTCACCTGCCCCTAGTGACAGCCAGGAAGTGCAGGGCCCTGACCCAATGCACACCCTCTAGTCCCCAAACCTGCCTCAAAACCCCTTCCCAGAGGCCTCACAGGCCCCTGAGGAGACCCCACAGCACCCAGGGGTGAGGTCAGCGCGGAGGCCAGGTGGGCCGGCCTGAGCAGGGCCCTGGAGGACTCAGTGTAGGCCGGCCCTAGCCCTCCCCAAACACACCCTTGCAGGGCAACCAGGGAAAATCGATGCTGTGTCCTGTGGGGACCAGGGGGCAATGGGGCCCAGGGACCAGTGCTGCGGGCTACAGGTCAGGCCTGCTGTCGCCCCTGTTCTTCAGAGGGGTCATGGGGCCGTGACAGAGGGTGCTGGCCTCCAGAGTCTCCAGACTCCATCCCAAGGAAAGACGCTTAACATTCCCTGGCAAAGCCTACAAATCCCAGGAAATTCCACTTTAAGTTTTCCTCCCCCTCCAGGGGCTCTTGAACCTTAGGAAACCACTAAAGGGCTCTTCATTCCAGCCTCAGGGGCTGTGGGACACAGTTGGAGCCTCCTGGCCTCCCAGTCCCTGGAAGAAGGACTGGAGGAAGGGCTCATGGCCTGCCTCTGGAACCAGGCAGGCCTCCTGGATTTGCTTACTATGGGACCTCACATATTGGGTTTTCTGTTCTCTGCGCCTCCACTTCCTCCTTTGTGAGGTAGGAATAATACTACTACTACTTCCCTCTGGGAGTAAATGAGTCAGTCATGCATGGGCCTAGCAGGGGCTTGGCAGAGTGACCGCCGGATGGATGGCAGCTGTGACCTCGGGACCACAGGATGCTTGGTGTGGAGTCTGGGCATTTCTGAGACCCCACCGCATGTTTAGCGCTGGGTCCCCAGAAGGAGACCGGAGGAGCTGACATCTGAGCAACAGCAGGAGCAGGCTGAGTGAGGCAAGGAAGCCACCCCATGGGACAACTGTCGCCTCTATCCTGTCTGCCAAGAATGGCCCCTGCGGATGGACGTCTGTGCCGCCCACTCCCCTAGAGGAGCTGGGCCTGGCACACACGGGTTAATAAATGCTTGAGACAAAAAAGGTTGTGAGTGAATTCTTTGCTGATGGATGAAAAGGAGACTGGGCGCAGGCAGGAGGCGGGGCCCAGGTGTGTGGGGGCCCTCTGGGGTGCAGACCTCCAGAGCTGTGCCGGGCGCCTCCTGCTTCTCCAAGGCGCTTAGGGATGGGCCTTTGCCCAGCCCTTCTTCCCTTAAGTAGCCGCCCGAGCCCCCCATAAGCCCCTGCGTGTGCTGGGGTCGGGGGACCCTGCCCGGGAAAAGCCACAGGGACGGGCAGAGGGACCGTCTGCCTCTGCCTCTCACCAAGTCCAGCTGGGGCCAGAGGAAGCGGCGGGGCGTGCGGCGCCCGGGGGCTCGGAGGTGGGCGGGTGTCCGGGTTCCACACGCGGCCCAGAGGGGCTCCCCGGGAGAGACTCCGCGGGGGAGGGGTGGGGTGCAGGTGACCCTCGGGCTCCGAAGTCCCGCCCCACGCCCGTGCCGGGCGCCT